GCTCATAAAGCAGGTGTCCAGGGAGGGTCGCACCTCAGGGTATCTTGTGTAGGTGGCATCCTGGATCATGCAGAGGAAGAAGCTTTACTTGCTGAGGCTATGAGCATTGCTACCAAGAATCTGCTTTTGTCCTGGTAGGGGGGAAGACGCAGTGAAACCCAACCTATCTTTGGATCACGTTTGTGTATGGGTATGGGTCTAACACCTTAAGCAAGTCTGCTCTGTGATCCATGCCGCAGATTCATTACCTGCAGGTGCAGTTTCTACTGCACTGTGCTAGTGATGACCTCCTGCTGACGGAAATGAAGGCAGGTGGTGCAATCCAAGTGCACAGGGAGGGAAGAAGAGGGGAGAAGACTGTTACCTGGAGCTTCCCAGGAGGAAGAGCCAGAAATGACTAGCGTGCCCCAAGATATCTTTTGAGGGGTTAGACAGGACCTCGGATTAGAACGTTATGAACCACCCTAACAGCTAGAGAGTCACAAGCTCAGCTTTTGTCATAGGCCTCCTGAAACGTTTGTGCCTCCTGGAAATTACTTGGTATCTGTAACCCATGACTATATGGGGATACCCCAAGAGTAGGTTCATTGCTGCAGTAAGAATCTCAGAATAAAGTTCTTGGCAGCAAGTGCAGTTTCCAGCTTTCACTCAACTGGCCTGTAATTTCAGTTTTGTAAAAGCAAGGCGACTGAGAGTCGGCATCCAGGACACGCAAAATTAACAAACTGACCTTCCCTTACTTGAATCACTGCATTTTTGTTATTCTTCATAGGGCAATATGATGTCTGGGGGATGGAATGCCAGCCCCAACCTTGCATCTCCCTGCTTTTGTCAGCTTCTGTCAACTGTGTTTCCTTAACATTATTTCAAGATAATTTGGGTATTTAAATCATTAGACTGCAAAATCCTGCTAGTCTAGCAGGGCATTTCTCAAGCCATTAGACACGTCCGCGTGCAAGTTCACACCCATTTGATGTGCCAGCGACAATACACAAAGATAAAGGTTTATTGCAGACTTTTCAAATATATTCCATTAGTCAAATTCAAGGCAAAAAAAATCTCAGCCTGTCTCAAGTAGACTTTACAAACAGCATGTACCATGCAGTATTGTTCTCCACCAGGTAGAAAACATCTGATATAAAAAAACTCATCAGCAAACCACACAGTTACAGATATTTCTACTCTACCCTGAAGACATAAAAAAGAAAACTCTTGGGATTTTCAGGACCAGCCAATCTCAGTTTACAGTCTCTAGCCTCCACATTTTCACAGTATTTCATGAAGTTTTATCAGTGCACTGTGACTTAATCAATTTGACCTTTAATAAGAGTCATAAAGCTAAAAGTCTGTGAAATTCTTCAACAATTTATCAGTGAGAATCAAAGGAAAGAGACAGAATAACAAATTGCAACAGGCCAAATATAGAGGAATTCAACATTTTTTTCACCCAGGAAATTCCCCTGGAGGAGGCAGGTTAAAGAATTACACAGCCATTGATGGAAAGCCACCATATCTTTCCACATACCTAAGATCTTTCTTAGACCACAGACTAGACACCTTTTTAATATCCTAAGCTTGACGGCAGATCTAATGTCTTCAGTACTGAAATAGTGTTAAAAAAACAAAAACAAAAAACCTGCAAAAAATAAAAGCAGAGGACTTTACAGCATACTCATTAATTTTATGAGATATGTCAGTTTCCAAAGATCATTGCTTAGGGTTTTATATGGAGACAAGGAGGAGACTTAATCGTCTCTCATTTATCCTTATCAGACTGTAGGCAGACCTGCCAAGTTTTGGTCTCTGAAAGGAGTCAGATTTGAAAAATGCACTCTCTGAGTGATGGTTCAAATTTTCCATTTCAATGTACTGTGAATCTTCAGAGTTTTATGTGAGACTGCTTCAGATTGCAGGAAATCGAAGCCAAAAATGGGGAGACACACTGAAACTCAGTGAGACTTGGCAGTGCATCGACTCTGCTGGGGCAGGAACAAAGGCTCGGCGAACAGCATATGCTATCTATTAAACTTTGTTCTTTGTGTGTGTAGACAGAGAGAGGGAGAGAGTGACAGAGGTAAGAACTCCAGCTCTCTCTTGATTTCAGACAAAGCTTTTGCCCAGATTATCTGATAGCTAAAGGAGTCTGGAGAGAGCTAGACATTTTGGAGAATCATTTCACAGAATGAAATTTTAATTTGGTGCTCTTTCTGCTTAGTAGGAAATATATTCATTGACCACAGTCTAAACAACTCAATTTAAGAATACAGGAAAGCAAGTCCTATTGCAATAATCGTCTGCTTTGTTGTTGATGAAGAAACCCCTTTTTTCCAGCTGGGAAATTTTTGTGTTGTTAGGAGACAGAAGATGTTTCTAATTAAGCAGTTCACCTGCATTCTGGAAATATATGGATAACCTAAGTGGGAATGACAACTATTCCTCAGATCCTCTGAGGAAAACATAATGGATAGGTGAACTGCTGGAAGAAAGCCACTGAACTCAACAGTGCTATAGCCAAGGTGTGCCCAACAACCATGGAGATTTGACCCAGTGTCCTTGTCTCAGGGACCAAAGGCCTCTCTCCAGTAGTCAAACAAAAGAGTTTAAGATATATGTGAAGAAAGCAAAAAGCAAGTACAGTTTTGAAAAGAAGACCAAAGAGCCTGGCCTAGCAGGAATCAGTGGTGAAACTTTCTCTGATTTCAGTATCCTCAGGATTTCACCCTTAGTTCCAGATGTGTAATGCTTAGACGGTGGCTGGTCTCAGCCT